GCCGCCTCGCAGCGGTACCGTCCCGCGTCCTCCTCCCGCACCGCGGGCAGCTGCAGCACCCGGCCCCCTGCAGCGCAGGGCAAGGTTGGGGCAAGGGACGGGGGGATTTCTGCAGGTCCCATTGGACCTCCCCCTCCCACCTCACTGTGCCTGCACCCCCGTGTAGCCCTGGTGACATTGTCCTGCTCCCGCAGGTCCCATGGGTGCTGTGCATGCTGGCAGCAGCAAGGGGACAGGATCCAACCTCCCCCATGCTACGGATGCTCTCAACCCACAGAGCCACTGCAGGAAAGCCTCCCACACCCCACGGTGAGGGTCCATGCCCATTACCTAGCAGCATCTGCACCCCCGGGCTGGGGGACAGGAGCTCCCCATCCTTGTACCAGGTGAACCGAGGGGGTGGGATGGCATTGGTGTCACAGTAGAGAGCGGTGGGCTGGCCAAGGACGGCCTGCCGGTGCTCCGTCACCTCCCCATCTTGGTCTTCCTCCTGGTAGAACATCTTGAGGGCTTTGTTGGGGCTTGTCTGTTGCTGGAAGAGGGGTGGCACTGTGGGGACAGGCTGTGGTCAGCTGTAGCAAACGGGGACTTGCACCCCAAGATGCAACCAGAGCATCTGCCCAGGCCTGACCAGAGCCAAGGAGATGTTTGTTTTCCAGCAGATACAAACCCTCTTCCTGCTCATGCTGCTCTGCTCCCACGAGGGACCCCACAAAGGACCCCTCCACTTGCTGAGACACCCACTGCTCCAGGCACTGGCTGGTCACCCAAGGCTCACCTTGGACATGCACGATGAAGTCCCTGTCATCTTCACCCACGACGTTGGTGGCCACGCAGGTGTAGTGTCCCGAATCCGAGACACTGGCTGGTTTGATTTGAAGGACCTGCCCCTCGCTGAGGATCTGGAGGTGGCCGGCGCTTTGCAGGAGCTGCATGGGGACGCCAGCCCCAAGGCAGGGAAGAAACAGGACAGGAGGAAGATCACACACCCAGGAGTGGGACAGAGCCCAGCCAGCCACATAAAGGGTGTCTTCCCACTCCATCCACCTAGGAGGGTCCCCAAAACCAGCAGATCATCCCTGGTCACAGTTAGGGCCTCACCTGCTTGTCCTTGTACCACTGGATGGTCGGCTCGGGCACAGCCCACGTCTCACACTCCAGGGTCACCGTGCTGTTAACCCGGGTTTTCACCTCTTTGATGGCAAATTGCCCCAAAGGATCATCTCTGGCAATCCAAGGAGGAACTAGCGGGAGAGACAACACATCTGGCATGAGAGAAGAGACCCCAATGCCCTTGCTCTGCCATGATTAGCAAAAGGTAGTATCTCAGGGTGCCACTGACACCCACAGGTGGACACCTTCACCCTGCCCAGGGTAGGCCAGAGGCTTTCTGGGGCCGCATGCTGACATGCATGTGACTGAGCACCAATTGCACAAGGTGCAGCTCCCTGGGGTGAAGGCACAGGAAGGGAAGGAGGGGCACTGGTCTGGTTATGGCAGTGGTATCACTACAGGAATTAGGAAGGACATTGAGAGTTCCCGCACCCTGGACCTTCACAGCATAGTTCTTCACAGCCTCCCCAGCTTCACTGGCCACGATGCAGCTGTATGTGCCCGCGTCCTCTTCCTGGGCATTCAGGATCTGCAGTCCGTGGCCACCTGGGCAAAGGGGGTTTCCTGAGAGGGTCGTCACTCACAGCCACGGCTGTCTACCCCCACACAGCACGAGAAGGCATCTTAAGGGACCTGCTGATCACCTGAAAGCCTGACTTGAGGGTGTCATGTGCTCTTCTAGACCCCAGTTTCCAGGCTTATAAAAACCAGTGCTGTCTCACTGATGTTGCCAAGGAGGCTCTAGCTACTATCAGACGATGCAGCACATGGAAGAGCAGCATCCACCTGATGGCCTATGCCCCTCAGGTCCTGCAGGACAATGGCTTCTCACCATCCCACTGCCCTGGACCACAGCCAGACCCAGAAGAGGTCCCACTCCCACGGACATGGAGCAAGGGGCCACACAGCACTCATGCGGAGCCTGCGGACACCACCACAGTACCAGGGAGAAGCTGGACGTTTCCAGACGCTTTGAGGGGAACCTCATCCTTGAGCCAGGTGATGTTGGGAGATGGGTACGCCAGAGCCTCGCAGACCAAGGAGAGAGGGTCATTGACGATCACTGTGACTTCTTCTGCAGCAGCATCCTGGGCATCTCCAGCAAATGTGGGCCTGGCTGCAGAGACGTGTTTGCATGGCATATCAGCATTAGCACCCACTTAGGATTACTGATGCTTCATCCCCGCCAGAGAGTGTGATCCAAGTGCAGGGAGTTGGACTTGACCACAGCATGTGGAAAGCACAGCACATACAGCACAAGCTCAGCTTCAGTCTCTGCCCTCCAAAAGCATAGGGGAAAAAAAGAGACACTCTCCCCCTTCCCACATCGTAGCAGATGGATCCTGCACTAGACAGGCCCTTCATGTTCCTTCAAGAGGTCTCATGAGGGCTTTCGGGCAGGTCCAGGACATCGTGCCATGCTGCTGGCTTTAGGGTTCAGGGATCCTCACCACCTACCTGGGGCAGGCAAAGAAAAAGCCCTCTAAGTCCATGTTCCCTGCTCACACCTGAGACTCTGCCTCCATCCAAAGATATCTCGTACCTGAAACATCTAGCAGGTAGTGCTTGGTTTGATTCACCACAGAGCTGGAGGCCACGCAGGAGTAGTGGCCAGCGTCAGAAAGGGAGGCGTGGGGGATGTGGAGCACGGAGCCATCAGGGGAGATGGAGGTGTCTCCACTGGGCAGAGGATGGCCATCTTTCAGCCAGGTGATCGTAGGCTGGGAGTTGCCTGTGCAGGGCGGAAAGCAGGTTTTGGCATTCATGCAAAGTTCTTCCATGCATGCACACAGCCTGACCGGGGTCACCACGCTGGAGCTTTTCTGGGAAGCAGGGACATCAGCCCAAATCCAGAACTATTACAATCTGGATCAGGTTTTTAGAGGCTGCTGGATGAGCCAGCAAGAAGGAAAACTGTCCTGAGTAGGAGGTGATTAATTATTCCCGTCACTAAAAGAGAAACCAGATTAGAGGAATTTTAGCTCCATTTGGGAAAGATTGGAGCTTACGTCGTGGAACAAGATCTCTGCGTGGGCGCCCCCTCCCCAGCGCTTCCCGGACAGCTCAACTGCAAAGCCAGGAACTATCCCAAAAAAGCTCTTTAGCCCATTTCAGCTATTTTCATGTCATCAACTGGAGCCATCCATTTGCTCCACACCCCAAAGGGAGACTCAGGTCCCCAAACTCCATCTCCCACCTGCTCACACCACCGCCACTCCCTGCATGATGCTCACCCGCAGCCAGGCAGGACCAGGTGACAGGGTGACCCTCGGGCACTGTGGTCTTCTCTTCTTCGCCCACGTTCTCGATGTGGGGAGGAACTAGGAACACGAGCCACCAGGGACCTCAGCAGCTGGCCAGCTTCACTGAGCCTCCGAGCTCACATGCTAAGGCACAAAGGACTCCAGCACTGCAGCTCCCACCATGTCCAGTCTTAACTCATAACTGTCCCTGCAAGGGTGAAGCTCTGAAATCCCACCAGGAATCCTGCAGCAGACGACGACTCCTTACCTAGAACCTCCACGTGGAAATGCCTCCTGGCCTCCCCAGCTACATTGCTGGCCAGGCAGGAATAATGACCACCATCCTGGGCTCGTGCACGGGTGAGCCTCAGCAGCCAGCCCCCTGGAAGCACGGAGGAGAGAGGTCTCAGGGCCCTGATCCAGGCACCAGCCCATCCCAGCAGTGCTCCTGCAGGACTGCAGTTCTCCTGCATTTACACCCATCAGCGCTGGGGCAAAATATGGTCCCAAAGCTCCCCTCTCTCACAGCATCCACATCTCATTCCTGACCTGGAAGCACATGCATGTGCTTGCTGGGGGTGACGGGAGAACCATCCCAGGACCAGGTGACTGTGGGCAGGGGAACACCGGTGGCCTCGCAGGTCAGCGTCAGGGCTCCATGCAAAGACACACTGACATTGGTTGTTGATCCTGACCCTTGAATGAACTCAGGAGGAACTAAGGACGCAGAGAAGGATGGACATCCATTTACAAGACAGCAGAGGAGTAAGGCAAACTGAGTAAACCTGGCTGGTTCCCATTCTCCTGCTTGTATAGTGTGAGGACATGAGCCTAGCATGACCATGAACATCGTCTGATGTTGTCAGCTTTGAAGGTGGTATGGGACAGTTGACCCACAGCAAGTATGTGTCACCTACCTGCACCCCCAAGCCCACACTTACAGATGCGACACCAACCTGGCCACATGCCCTGGGCCACCTCAGGCCTCTTCCAGCTCAAGTGCTTGGTACCTTGACCCATGAGGCTTCCCCAAGTCCTTGGAAAGTAGATGATTTTATGAAATGTGAGGAGGTCAGCTCTCATAACCCCAGAAAGAAACTCCTGCTTGATAGAGCCAGTACTACGGCTATGTTGCTTGGAGCATCCCCTTTCTGACCCAAAATCATGTATGTGCTGGGTTGTCCGAGAGCTTCATGTCATCTTGTTCTCTGCACTTGTGCTGTGCAACATTGCCACCCTCGCCCGCCTGCCTGCGTCCATACCCCCAGCCACCAGCCCTGTCCCGCACTCCTACCATGCACTGCAACATCAAACTCTCTCCGCTCCTGCCCCACCGCATTTGCCACCAGGCAAGTGTAGCGTCCTGCGTGGGCCAACTCCGCCTTGGTGATTCTCAGCCGCCTCCCCTGCTCTGTAAGCAGAAGCCCTTCCCCACCGGCCACAGGCTGTCCGTCCTTCACCCATGTCACCGTGGGCAGTGGCATCCCCACGGTCTCACACTCCAAAACTGTCTCGGCAGCCTTGATGACAGAAACCTTCCTCGGGGCTTTGCTGCTGCCCTGGCTCCTCGGCAGTGCTGCGGGCAGAGGGACACAGGGTGGAGGTGATGCTGTAGCAACTCTTTTGGCCGTGTGCAAGTGGATATACAGATGCCATCGGTCTGGATGGTGGCAGCAGGAGGGTAAAGCAAATCCGAGCAGATACAACCAGTGAAATTTGGCTTCTAGGGTGAAAACTGGCTGCAACTGGCTTGGAGCCAAGAGGAAAGCTGGAGGGGCAAAGCCAACCCAGCTAGCAGCATCCATTCCCAAACACCCAGGGCAGCAGGCAATGACTGAGATTTTGGGTCCAGCTGGACCTTGCATCGAGAGATATCATGGCACCTTCAGGCACCCCCACAGGTCCCCTATGCCTCTGGGGCCCCTCAGCTCACCGTGCACCTCCAGGCGATGCTCCTTGCTGCTGCTGCCAGCGGCATTC